CACTACCAAGAATTGATGACCTATTAGAAAAATTTAAGGAAGCAAAGTGGTTTTTTCAGTATAGACCTAAGAAGCGGTTATTAGCAGGTTAGGATGAATAAAATCGACCAAGAGAAGATCGCGTTTGTTACCAGAAGTAGGCTATACTAATTCTAAGTAATACTGTTTGGGCTTTGCAATACCCTAGCAAACTTCTAGTAGTTAATAGATATGGTAATATCAGAGTATATTGGAAAGTTTGTGGAGGTATACATTAACGATATCAATATATACTCCCAGACTTTCACAGAACATTTAGACTATTTGGAAAGACTATTTAATAAATTAAAAGAAGCAAATCTGAGGGTTAACCTAGAAAAGTATACTTTCTTCAAGCCCGAAATCCAATTCCTTAGTTATATGGTTGGTCACTACGGTATCCATTCCGATAACTCTAAAATAGAAAAAGTAAGAGATTATTCAATTCCAAGAACAGTTAGGCAATTAAGAGCCTTTATAGAACTGGCATCCTATTACCATCGTTTTATCAAAAACTTTGCCACTATAGCCTGGCCCCTACATAATTTGTTAAAGAAAGATGTTAGTTATAAATAGGAAAGTAACTAACAAATATCATTTGATAAGTTAAAAGAATACTTAACTTCAGTACCAGTTCTCCAATACTCAGATTTCAACAAGACATTCTACCTTTATACAGATACATCTGAAACAGAACTATAGGTGGTGTTAGTACAAAAATCAGAAAAGCATAAGGACCACGTAATCTCCTATGCTAGCTGAAGCCTAACTCAAGCAGAAAGAAATTATTCAGCCACAAAGCTAGAGTGCCTAGCAGTATTATGAGGCATAGAATACTATCACTATTATTTTGGATTCAAGCTTTTCGTTATAGTAACAGATCATGTAGCCCTGAAATAGCTATATATGACTAAACTTAATAGTAGACGTGCTAGGTGAATCATTAAGTTATAGCTCTATAATTATACTATAGAGTACCAGGCTAGTAGAATCTATAATAACACTGATGGTCTTTCTCGTAGCCGAGAATCTAAAAAAGAAAAACAAGAATTTAAACAATTAATAGAAAAGGATAAATGGCAACCAGAATTAGAATAGTTAATAAATCTGGTGGAATACAACAAATATGACAAGTATAACGATTACTAAACTGAAAATAAAGACTCTAATAAGAAATAGATCAAGCCAGATTCCACCATAACCTATGACCACAAGACTAGATAGGACTGATAGGATATAAACAAAGATAACTATTATGAAAACTATAACGAAAAAAAATTGAATATAAAGAATTATTGAGAGCACTTACTTATGAATCTGGTAGAGAATTAATCTGGTCAGAGCAAAACGGATATCAGCATATATTAAATATTAAATAAGCGGTAAATGATATACTAATAAAATTAGATGAATTATACAATATAATCGTACCCACCTGGGGAAAGAGTGAATTAGAACTTTACACTGCTGAAACCTTCATCCAGTATTAGAATCCAACTCTAAACGAATAGACCTATATAATAAACAATAATAATTATAATAGTTAGTAATAATAACAAAAAGAGAAAGAAATAAATACTTAAATTTGACATTAAAAATTATATAGTTCAGGTTGTC